AACATGTTTAAATAATTAAACACATAAGCTCTTTATTAAATTCATAATTATCTATTATATTCTCAGGTGAATACATTTTTCCTTTGTACCTTATGTATTGTTATGAAATAAAGGTTGATAAAAGCATAAATGGGGGAAATGAAATGACGCAAGGAAAGCTCACTCATTTTACTGACCCTATGGCATAAAACGACATGTCACTTCAATAGACCCCAATGCAACATCTAACTCAACGGTTCAAATTCAAATTTCAAGTGTTGTTTTACCTGTGCCTCATTTAATGTGCATCCTAAATCCTACGCCAATCGATATTAAAAGAGTGTGCACCTCATCTGCCATCTATAATTAATGAACACACTTTAACTGAGGCCCCACTATCACACATGTGTCCACCCCACTCTCGCAAGAATTCCAAGTGCACAAGGGTAATCCAATGCCAAAATTTAATAGGCATTATGATGAGAAGATTACTTCAAAAGCAATTGAGGATGGGCATTATTCCAAGAATATTCCTCTAGACAAAGTGGAGAACAACTATCATTTTACAGATGTGGGCAATGTTGTGCCCAACCCATATCAGCCTTCAATAGGCAATGCATCCAACCAGGCTAATACCAAGCCCTAAAAAATTACAAGGAATCCCATATGCTTCATGGATTAGCCAACATATTTGAAATAGTTATTTGTTAAACAATGTTATCCTTATCTTATTAGTTGTTAGTTGTTTGACTTTATTTTTCATATCACTAGAATCAGGCCTTTACTTACAAAAAAAAAACTAGGCTTTTAAGTTAGCAATCCATATCTTCAACATTATTTTAGGTTATTTAAAATTATGTCTCCTTAGTTTATGTTTCAGTATTTAGATCTATTTAAAATGATATTGTAATCAAATTCATGGCAATGGATAATGATTAATTCTCACACTTCTCCTTCTCTCTCTTGCTTTTCACCTTCCTCTATATTTATAAATTTCAATCCCCTATAGTTAGTTTTGAAAAAAATTCCATAATTTGAACTTAGTATGTGGAATCTCCATTAAGCAAGGTAGAGTTATTGCTATGATTAAAATTGAATAGGTCTCAAACTCATTTCTTTTGAATATTTCTCAACTAAGTATCTAGTTATACCTTTAGTTAACATATATGCAACATTTTCTTTTACTTTACAAAGTTAATTATAAAAATTTCCACTAGAAATTAATTGTCTTACGGTACCATGTCTTCGACGCAAATGTCAAGACTTGTTATATATGATATTCTTGTTCTTCCTATTATTGCTTGACTATCACAATAAATACATATAATTGGCATGTATTTAAGCCAATTTGGAATGTATTCAAGGAAATTACGATGTCACTCTACTTTTTCATCGATTTTATCTAAAGCAATGAATTATGCTTCCATAGTTGATCTTGTAAAAAATTACTGGAAAATTTGCAAGAAATTGAACTGCCACAAAGTTTGTACACAAATTCACTTGTGGACTTAGTATCACTTGAGTCAGTTATACAATGTGCACCATGTATCTTTCTAACACTATAGGATACTTTAAGTAATGCAAAACATAGTTTTGAGTGTACTTCAATCTATCCAAAACTCGTATCATTGTATTCCAATGATAATTATTTGGATTGTTTGTATATCGACCTAGCATGCTTACAACATATGCTATGTATGGTCTATATAGTTCATGACAAACATTAAATTGTCTAGTATATGAGTATACTCTTTTTGCTCTTTAACCTCACTATTATTCTTAGATAAATTTAAATTAACACAAAGTATCACCTGTATTGACGTAATATCAAGATTTTTGAATTTTTCAAGAACCTTGACAATGTAATGAGACAACGATAATTTATTGATAAGTATACAAGTCATAACTTTAATAATAAGGTTTAATCTTTCTCTGGTGACGGGAGATAAAGTTATCTCTCGTTATCTCAAAGTAACATTGTTTTAGGGCTAAAACTTGAGAGAGAGAAAATTTAATAATAAAAAATAATATAGCGCCATAATAGATTAGAGTTACAAAAATATTTTTCTGCAACCCGTAAAACGACATTGTTTTAGGGTCATAAGAGATAAGTTATCTCCGGTAACTGGCAAAACATTAAACACACACATGTATTATGTATGTGGTTTTAGTTTTTCATTAGGAAACCAAATGGGCATTAAAATTAGCAGTAAGCGGTACTTGATGTTGTCATTTCAGTTACACAAACCAAAATTGACATTACTTTAATTTTCACAAATTAAACACTCAAAGTGTAAAAGCAAAGTTAATTAATAACAATTGATTATTTTTAAACACGGATGAACTATTCGGGATTCATTGAAGATTTTGGAAAAATAATAGCTCATAATGTTTGTTTAGAAATTATCTCATCAACATATGCAAGTAAATTAATATAGGTAAGGAAATAAACTATACATGGCAACAAATACAAGTTGTCTTCTTAAAACAGAGGTGTGCAAAAGAAACAAAAAAATTGAACTGCATTAAAAAAAACTGATTTTTAAAAATCTGTTGTTGAACAGAACTGCTTTTTAAAAACTAGTTCTTTAACTGATTTATTTTTTTTTAAAAAAAAAAACCACTGTATGAACTGAACTGATTTATGAACTGAATTGGTTTTCAAAATCAGTTTAAGTACCAAACTAGTTTAAAAAATTATGAACCAAATGGTTTTTTTTTTCTCTTATTTTTTTTATTTATCTATTTTTCTTCCTTATTTATTTCGTTTTTCTTTTATCTTTATTTTTATTACTTTATTTTTTTAATTTTTTCTTTTTCTTTTTCTCTTTCTTATTTTTATTTTATTTTATTATAATTTTTTCTTGCTTTTTTTTTTAAATTCGTGGTATTATTTTTTTCTCTCAATATTTTCATATTCTTCATTTAGATTCAGAATTGATTCGAAAACCAATTTTAGGGGTGTGCAAAAGAACTACAAAAAATATTTCACTTAAAAAATTAATTTTTAAAAATCTATTCTTGAACTGAACTATTTTTAAAAACTAGTTCTTGAACTGAAAATCAGTTCATAAATTGGACTAATTTTTTTCTCTTCTCTTCATTTCTTTTTCTTTATCCCTCTCTATTTCTCTTCTCTTATTTATTTATTTACTGTCTTTTTTTTCTTTTTTCTCTCTCTTATGTATTGGTTATTTATTTTATTTTTTTATTTTTAAGTATTTATTGCTTTTTCTAATTTTCAACATCATATATATATATATATTATTTTTTTCTTCATTATTTTTGTAGTTTTATTTGGATTCAAAATTAATTTTAAAAATCAATTCAGAACTGAACTAAACTAACAAATCAATTTAATTCGCAGAACTAAATTATTTTTTCCAATTCAATTCAGTTCGGCAAAGTAAACCGAACCGAAGTATGCATATCTCTACCTTAAAATAATTTATCCTTCTATAGTACTCAATATAAATAGAGAATTGTCTTGATGATAGAACAAATTATTATTTTTTTAGTAGTACTTCTATTTTAAGAAACCTTCCAACTTAACTTGCTAAAATAATTACTAAAATAATGGGAGAGGAGAGGAGAAAATAATTTTCTAACTTTACAAATAGCTCTTGAATACATCCCTATTTACAGAGGATCAATAGTTGAAGTTTGAAAGGATATACCTCTTAAGTAAGAAGACATCTTTTTTAACTTAGTCATAACCACATCTTTGTTTCGGAAGGTTAAAATTGCCTATGTTAAAATTTATTGTGAATTAAATGTGGTTATGAAGACATCTTTTTTAACTTATTTATAACCACATTTAATTCACAATAAATTTAAACATAGGCAACTTTTAACCTTCCAAGGTTTTAACATTGCCAAACTTTTAAGTACTTTTAGAATCAAAGACTTACATCACTAGTGAGTATCACATTATGCGGCTTATTATTTTAAATATTTTTTAACATTCAAGGTAATATACATTTCATAATACATAATAAAAGAAATCAAATCTCTTTGTTTATAATAAGGCAAGAATTTCTCATCCACTCCGAGTCAAAGTAGTGACTCAGTTGTTGGAACAGCCACAACCAAAATTCAGTACCTTCGGCAGCAGAACCCAAAAGAATTTCCTCTGGACACTGACATTACCAGTTACTCTTGCTTTACCAATAATACAAAATGCAAATGGTTAATAAAGGTAACTATAGTTAACTAAGAGTTTGGTTAATATTCAAAAAGGGAGTGTGTTCAAATTTCACTTGCCGATACAGAACTTTGTTAGTGAATAATATATAATTTCTTACAAAATGATGTTTGTGGGGTTTACTCTGATCTTAATAGAATATCGATTTTTAATCTTATATAATTTTTTTTATTTTAAAATGAAATTGTATATCCCTCTACACAACATGACAAATAATACAATCGGTTCCTCGGTTAGACCAAATCTTCTTTTCACACACCACTCAGTTTCTGTTAAAAGTAAGAACACTAAAAGCCAAATCCAAGGGAAACTCTCACTGCTCATTCGGTTACTCTTTTACTTTTCTAGTGTTTGGAAGTTCTTTGAACTTCAAACAAGGTAGCAAAAGTGCTACCTTAACGCGCCCCAATAGCATGCTAAATGTTTGCTTAAAATAGGGGAAAAAAACATAGCACAAATTCAGCACAAAATGTGGACTTTACACTGCGCGGGGAGACATGCCACTGAACTATGTCAATATGCAAAAGCAGAGACAGCCACCTCAGACACCCCATTCTCACTTGCTCTTTCTTACATTCAAATGCAAAGCCCGCCACTCTTTCTTGCTGATGTAGCAAAATTCAAATCTCACTTTTGATTGTTCCCATTACCTTTTTTTTTTTCTCTCTTAGGAAACTATGCCTTTATCATTGAACTGAATGGGAGTTTGAGATTCCAACAAAACACCCCAATTCACTTTTCTTGTTTTTTTTTTTTTTTAAATATAATGTTCTTTTCTCTTTATCAGTTTCTTTTTGTTTCCTAGATCATTCAAAAAATGAAGCTCTCAACTTCTTCTTATGCATCCCCATCACCTTCATCCACCGTTAGTTTTGACCCAACTATGTGCAACTCCAAAAGCACCACATCAGGGTGTCTCACAGCCATCTTACGCAAGATCCTTTGCTCTTGTGGCCTTCCAACAGACCCTTCAGATCAAAAAAGAGAACTTGATTCATCAAATTCAATAGTGAGTGGCAAAGATCAAAACTTGAAGGCTAAGCAGAATGCTGAGGCTGCTATTACTACTACTACTACTACTGCTCCTCCTCCTGGGATAGTTGCAAGGTTAATGGGTTTGGAATCAATGGGAGAGATACCCTATGCATCAACACCAAATTCATTATCACGTAGCCGATCCATGAATTCTTTGGATCATTTGGGAGAATGCAATGGATTGCAGGGTCCACATAAACGGGTTAACTCCACATTGTCGTTTAGGGAGGCACCAAATAATTTCCTCTTACTTAAAAATGAGAACTTTTTGGTACTTAGCTTTGAAACTGAAGGTGAGAGTAGAGAATTCAAATCCAATGGGAGAAAAAGAGAAATGGGTTCTGCAGAATTGAAGCAGAAAGTGCCAAAAGAGAGAGGTGTGTTGAAGGAAAATAAGAGAGAAAAGGTTTATGATGAGAAGATTTTGATTCAAAAGAGGAAACTGAGCAAAAGGGTGTCTGATATGTCTTGTGGAAATGTTGGAAATGATGGTAAAAAACTTCAAGAAATCACCAACATTTCGTATCCCTTCAAGGCTACATCTAAAAAGAAGTGTTCTGATTCCGAAGCAGTGAAATTGTTACAGCCCAAGAACAGCAAGGAAGCTGTGATTGGTGAAAAGCTGAAGAGGAGGAAGAAGAAAACAAGTTGTTACTCAGAAAAAAAGACAGAAACTGAATGCAAGTCAGAAGATTCAAGCCCAGTTTCTGTCCTTGAATTTGAGCGTGAAGCTTGTGGAACAGGTTTGTTTCTTTGATAATTCGAGTTCAACTTTTTTCTTAACTGGTTACAATAGTTGTTCATTTTGCTTTAGATATACATCATGTTTTGTTCAAGAAAATGTGTTCCAAGTTCTAAATTTTCTATAAGGAACTCTCCACAAATAAACTGATTGCAGAGGTAGATTCTTTTGCAGTTGGTTTGAGTTCAAGAAGAAAATTGTCACCAGAGCTTGAAAATGACCAGCACTTTAATCTGCGTTCTGATAGTAACTTGATGATTGAAGAGAATAAGGTTAAGGAAACTGAGAGCAACAAATGTGAAGGATCAAAGAAAAAAGAGAAGCACAGCCAGGAGTATATACATAATTGGGGTGAAGTTTCCAAGCTAGTTAAAGATGAATTGGTTGGATCAAACAAGATACATGCATGGATGAATAAACAAGGTGATTTAGGAAGCATAAGTGCTGATTTTGAGTCAGAAATTTTTGATCAATTGTTAAATGAGCTGATAGATCAACTTGTTGGTCATCCACTGACAACTTTGTAACTTCAAAATTTGTAAAATAAGCATATTAATAAATTGTAAAAAGATTTAAATTCCTCATCCTCTTATTATTTTTCTGTTTTTATTATATCCCTATCAGTTATCACAGTGCATCCTGGAAGATTCTTCTTTTTTTCTTTTGTTGAATTTTTAGTGTTGTGGGATTTGAGCAAAAACTAAAAGCAAATTTATCAATGGAGACAAGGTAATGAGATGCTTTTGGACCGAACACTAATGGATGTACATGTGTCTTAATATTATAATAGGCCCAAAAAACATGACATATGGCAAAAATTCTTGGCCTTATTAAAGTTAAATTTCTACTATGAAGCATGTTGAAAATGGAGTCACCCAATAAGCATTCCCCAGGAAAAGCACTCTTCCTCTTGTGTCTTTCTTTTTGGCTTTTGAAATATATGATAACAAGTGATTTTTATACTTTATTTTTTTGCTTTAATATTTCTACATTAGATAAGTTATTTACATTTGTTCCCAAAATGATATTATTTTGGGTTAAAAAATAAAAAATTATAATAAAAAATACTATTATAATACTGAAATAAATTATAATTATAAAAATATCTTAATTTCTGCCTTAAAACGACGTCATTTTAGATTCAAAATAGATAAATTATCAATATTGATAGTAGAAAAAATAACTCTTATTTTTTACTATATTTCTTTTTTATAAAAAGAGAAAGAGAAAAATTCACCCTTTTCTTTTTCTCTTTCTTTTTCCCGTAAAAAGAAAGTATAACACATTAATACAGAAAATGAAGGAGAAGAATAATATTATTGAGAATAATAATGACCTTGGGATCTTGATAAACATTTATATAATTCAAGTCACAAACCACAACCTGGTCAACTTCAATTTCATCACGCAACCGCAAGTAAAATGCAGATGGATTTTTTCTACACAAGAGGCCAAATAGCGCCCCCCACTAAAGTAATAAAGCTGCCGTTGAAAACAAAAGCCATTGCTTTAATAGCTATGAACAAAATACATTTTTAGGCGGGTAAAAAAAAGCAAAATGTTGTTATCAAAATGTTATAATTATACAAAAGTCAATTAATAATGATAAAGGAAAAGATAAAAAATAGTAAAATCAATAGTTACAAAATTATCACCGTTGATTTATATTTATACGGTTATGATTTTTTTACATGATCATGTCATATTATTTTTTATCATGAGAGGATCTATTTCCAAACATTATACTATTTGCATAAAAAATATTATTTTTGAATCGTATAAAGATACTTCATGGGCATGCGCTCAAAGATATTCAAGAGATAGATATCCGATTGACTTATAGCCAATTCTCCAATCACTGGGTATGTAGCCAAGACGTGGGTGTGTGTGCAGTGTTGGCTGTAATAGTAAATAGGTCAAAAGTATGTACTTGGAGTCTTTAGCCTCTTATTTATAAGGATTACCTTCACAGACTTGGGTCTTCAAGATCTTCCAGTTGATATAAAATCTGACTTGATTGATGGGAATAAGGATCTTATCCTTTGATCCTCTCTAAATTATATGGTTGTGATATCTTTATCTAATTTTACTAATAATAAGGTTGTTAGGATATAAATCCGGTCCATAATATAATGTAACATTGAGAGCGAATAACTACCAATTTGACATGATTTGGGGGGAAAAAATACCAATATGTCACGATTTTCAAATTATTTTTTGGTAGAAGTATGTGAGTTCAGATAACTTAGTTAATTGGACTCATATCCTTTTATCGCTTGACAAAATATATATATAATATTGAGATTTAGGATAACTAATTCAGCTATGACACGCGTCACATGATAGCACGAGTTTAGCAATGGCAAAATGGAAAATAATTTTTGAAGTATGACATTTTGACAAAAACTTTTATTTTTTTCCAAAAGATGGCATTTTGGTCCTTGTCCCATGGCAACTATTCAATCTATTCAGCAAAACGAGATAAAACCACGACCAGCTAGAATAATGCTTAACCCAAAAGGAAAAAGGATACAAAAGAAAAGTTTACTCATCATCAGGATTCAGGACTTAGAACAAGATTTTAACAATTTTCAACGTGTGTTCAGAGCTAGCTACCAATTTTATAGGTTTCAATCACTCTATGTTTGATAAAAAGCCAAAGCCAATAAGTTAAGCTTTTTGAGAATGCTTTTTGTTAGTGCTCCATAAACTTACCCATTCAGACCCAAAGAACCAATGAATATAAACTTTAACGACCGAAAGTAGAACATGGCAGAATCCTCAAAGGTTACATATCACGAATATAGAATAAGATTAGGAAAAAAAAAAAAAGTAAAAATGCCAGTGAATAGCAACCGAAGCCATCCTGATTCTCAAAAGCAATTCCAGAATAAAGGTGGTAACGACAAACAAAAGCTACCAAGTCCAGATGAAAATCCTTGCTGTCTATAACAATCTATCTGAAAACGAAATGCTAGCATATGCCTAAACATGGAGCAAAATAACGAGACTACAAAAGAGGCTTGTTCAGGGTGTTGCAAGATGGCATCAAACTAAAATATAAAGTAGTTACACATGGCCCACTATAACAAGTGAATCAACTCGTACAAGGTTGTTTCAACTTCATTAATGGTCTCGAATTCAAATCCCAAAGTAGTTAAAAACTTAATAGGAAGAACTAGATGGCGAGTCTCCCTCACCTCTACCCTCGCTAAATCGGAAAGCTTTATGCACCGAAATTTACCCTTTTACAAGTGGCACACGTATCTTACACTTACATATCAACATTTGGAGCTTTGTGGACTAATAAGCTTTAACATTTTATGCAAGACGAAATAAAGTGAAACAGGATTAGATCAAAGTCGCCAAAAAAGAATGGGTAATTGCAAGAACAACCACAACTTGCAGCACAATATACAGCACAATGTACTATCAAAATAATTTTGAAAATTAGCATTTCTAACAAATTATCAGCATCTAAAACATAAATAATAACAGAAAAAATAAGGGGAAAAAAGAAGAAGAGAGAATCAAATACCCTTAGTAACAGATAGTTGCTGGAGCAGAAAACTTTCATTCTGCCCAACTTCTGTATTGTTGCCTTACAAAATGTCACCTAAATATAATGAATTTAAATAAAATTAAAAAATAGTCAATAAATAAACTTGTCTAGAACTGCATAGAGTATCCAAAGCCAGAGTTAACACTGCATTCAAGCCACCATCTGCTCCTGCTCCATGTACAATTGCTCCAGCCAAGCTGGAACCACTTCTGTTCCATTGTTACCATGGCATTGAAGCTGCTGTTGCTGCTGCTCTTCAACACTATGCTGACCAGATTCCATTGGCGGAGCGTCCTTCACAAGTGAATTAACCCATGATACATCTGGTTCATCAACATTTGTTGGTTCTCTGGTTGAAGCCATTGTTAAAGGATTACTACTGCTTCGAAATCCAAAAGAAGAAGACTTCCTCAGCTTATTCAGTTCTTCTCCACGGATGGCCCAGTCTAGTTTTCCATCAGGGGAGCCCCACCCAGAGAAGGTAGAAGGCTCCATAGCAGGAGAAGGAAGCTCTGAATTACAGCTCACCCCACCGCGCTCGATAAAGCTCTGGCTCCGCTTCGAAAAGGCAGCCTTTCTTGAAGCTGTCCCGGATGGATCAACCCTATATGATGGTGATCCAATCACATTTGAAGCAGAGAGGTTGGAAGGATAGCCCCGCAGTTGCTGGATTCCCGTCGGAGATTGTATATGAGACCCAAAAATGTCTTCAAGATTAGTACTAGGCTTCACTCCTGCAAGCCTATTTAACTCCCCACTATGATCACTCAAAGAGACAGGAAAAGATGGACTATTAGGCATGGAATTTTTCCACTTGGAAGGGGAAGAAAGACCAACCATCTCTTCCATCATTAGCTGTTGCATAAGTCTTTGATTTCCAAGTTCAAGCAATTCAATGTCTAAATCAATATCTCTAGCATTGAATGCATTTTTCAATCTGCTTCTAGACAGTTGAAGGGTAGGGACTCCAACATGAGACTGAGTCTGCCACACAGGAGAAGATGGTGCTCCAGATGGAGTCAAAGGTGGTGTTGAAGCAGGTGGTATCAAGACAGATGAAGATCCCAGTGTGAAAGAGCTAACTGAATCCATATCCAATGATGAAGCACCAGCTGAATATGATCTTGGAGAAGGCATAGCAGAACCTGTAGAGGCATACAAAGGGCGAAGCTCCTCCAGCTTGTGAGCAAAGAAGCAAACTCTTCTGGTGCATCCAGTCTCATCCTTGCAAAGCCTTGTTCGATACTGAGCAGGGTGAAGCCAGCACTCAAAAATACCATGCGCATATTCACAAGCATCACCCTTGCTGCATGATCCCTTCCTAAACTCGGGGCAAGGGACACAGCTATAATGATATTTCCTCGGATCACGACGTCTTGCATTTTCCCCTGGATGAACAAAGGGGCACTCAGTCCAATCATGAGAATAAGCCCTTGAACATGGCTTCACTTTGAATATATACATCCTAAACTCATCAGTACCATATATCCCATTCTTTATGTCTGGAAGAGAGAGATCAACAGGATAATCTTTCTTCTCGGTCCCATCTTTTGAAACACGAGGCACATCTACATCTTGCTGTTGCCGTTTCTCCATTAGGCCAACTTCTTCCTGATCAATACCATCTGCACCTTCTAGTATGGCTTGTAGAATCCTCTTCCTTGAATTGAAGATATTATTAGACACAGAAACAATCAAGTCATAGCAACGATTACCATTGGCATCAACAATACTAACATCTGCAGATGCATCAAGCAAAAGCTTGATAACCTCAGGGCAAGAAGAAGAAACCCCAGCAACAGCACAGTGAAGGGCAGTGGCCCCATCTGATCCACAAGCCTTGTTAACATCAACAAGGCCTGTTCCAAGAATATAAGATAAAACACCCTTGCTTCCAAACATTGCAGCAATCATAAGAGGGGTCCTCTCTTCATAACTCACTTCCTTTGAACCAACCCTCCTTCCATACCACAACCCCACCTCATCAACATCATGACCCTCTTTTTCAACAGCATCTTTGAAACCTATTACATCATCTGCAGCAGAAAACTCAAGCAAAGCAGAAATTTTATGATGCAGCCCTTCTTGTCTTCCATGCTCATCCTCCATAATCAAACCAGTTTGAGAAGGATTCCTCTTGGAACCGCTGCACATGACTTTATCTTCCTCCTAAGGCCTCCACAAAATCTGTAAAATCACAACAGAGAGAGAGGGAGAGAGAGAGAGAGAGATTTCAATATACTATTGCTCCAAAAAGAATAATCCAAGTTAAAACATACAAAACTTCCTTTAAAAGGTTTCAATTTAATCTTAAAATTTTTTTAACGAAATCAGATACGCCAATAGAAGAGACAGATTCTCCCCATTTTGCGGTTGTTGATAAGGCATGAGGCAACTAACGATTGGCATAGTTACAAAATCATGAATCACCAAGAAATTTGCAACAAGCATTCGTTTGAACTGTACAAGTACAATCTTTCAGTTTATTCATAACAAATAATTCTAAAAATAGGCACAAACCCCGGTAACAACAGAAACCGAAGATTGTTGCAACCTTAACCAAATAGCAAAAATAACCTGTACTTCTTCCAGAGTGAAAGAGAAAGCAATATTCTTTTTTACACGGCTAAGGTAGTTCCCCTCCATAACAACAACCTCAGGCCTTGCAAGACCCATGATTCAAAACACATCATTCTCAGGAATTTTCTTAGCAAGCAAGCAAAAACATTGTCACTCTCAAATACTTAAAAAAGATCCATTTTTTAACTAAAATTCAAATACCCATCAAGAAGAAAAAAGAGAAAAACATGAACCAAGAACCAAAGAACCATACCTTACAGAAACAAAGAAAAACACCACCAAAGACTCTGGTTTCTGTTTTCTTTTCTACTTGTTTTAAACTTCAAAAGCCTTTAAGAGAAAGAGAGAGAGAGAGAGAGAGAGAGAGTAGAAGACTTTTAAGGCCTTCGTCTCTAAGGTTTGGGGTCAAAAAAGCAAGCCCAACTAGTTGCCGCACCAGTTACCAGCTCCTCCTTCCCAATTCCATTGTTTTCACCTTAAAGTTTTTTTATTCATTAAAAAACTGCACAAAACTCTCTCTCTCTCTCTCTATATGTGTGTGTGTGTGTTACTTTTGAAATTCTTTATATAAACCAATCAATTCTTAATTCTTCTAAATAACATTTTGTAAAACTTGCATATTTGCATTAATTAGGCAATGCAGTAAAACAAGAAAAAATTTCACTCATTTATAGTTTGTTAAGGTTTAATGATAACTAATGAATGAATGAAAAATGAGATAAATTATTCATTTATTTAAGATTAATAATAAGTTAAACTTATTTTAACAACAGTTCTAGCTTTCAGTATAATTTATCAAAAGAAAAAACTATTCTTATGTTATATGTGATAACTATTATTTTTCTTCCTACACACTCTTCGATAACTGTGCCACCTTTTTTTTCAGATGGTGGAACTCACAAAATTGTCTCTATGACATCAGATAACTTATCTCTTTTAACATAATAAAACCCTTTATCAAAATAATTTAATGTTATTATTAACTTTTGATGAATAAACTAATTATTTCTTACTTTAATTTATCTAATAATTATCTTGATGATTGTGAGGTAGTTGTCTACCAAAAAAATTAGTATACCAACCTTAATTATCTCTTTGCTATTTATATCTAACCACAACGTATTTTTGTTGAAACATTGAAAATCAGAACAACTTAAAGTCTTTTAAGTAAAAAAGAAATTTAAAGACTATAGTATAAGGTATTCTTATTTGTGAAAGATGAGCGACTAATTCACACGCACAAACACATATATACACCCACGCACATATATGGAAAAAGTGTTTGTCATTTTAAATGACAAAAAATTATATCATTTTAAGAGAGATACAGACACAGAAAATTTAAATTTTAAATTAAAAAAACCACCTACTTTCTCTCTCCCATAATTTCTGTTTTTCTGTGTTTATCTCTCTCTTAAAATGACATAACTTATGTCATTTAAAATGACAAACACCAAACCCTACACACATATATATATATATATATATATATATATATATATATATATATATATTTGGAATAATGGGAGTACTTACTCCTTTGCCAAAAATAAAAAAATATTGGATATAAGTGAAAATAAATATATAAATAAATATAATACAAAAGTGTTATACTTTACATAATTGATTAAAAATATACCGAGTGTTATAGAATATATCCATATCTTAACTATCTAATTATAAATCTCTCTTGTTATCAAAAAAAAAAAAAAAATTATAAATCTCTCAATGGATAATGACCCAATTATCCTAATAGCATGAAACAGTAAAAATAATAAAGATAATACCCTTATTCCTACAAAAAAGAGATTGAATCATATATCAACTGAGAAATCTACACAGTCCAAGTCCAAGAGGCAACCCTTGTACTGTGCTACTTCTGTCCACACTGTGCACAAACCCACATCTGCCCACATTTTCTCCTGATCACACTGTGCACACACCCAAGCCCAAAATGAAATAGTATGAATTCTGAACTCATTCACTATTTCTCTCTACACCCATGTCTTGGCTATAAGGCTATTGTTTATGTACAGTGACTGATATATTGGCTTTAAGCCAACCACGATATCTGTCTATAAGATATTTCTGAGCGCATATCCTAAGATATTATTATACAGTTCTTTAGGACCGAACACTTAGTACTCAATATAATTAGAACATGACAATATTTTCTCAGTCATAACATCTTTATAGTAAAATACTAAAATTTCAATACCCCAATTTTTATATGTAGGAGACAAAAAAAAAATTTATTTTCAAGAAAAATATTAAAACCTTATAAAAATAAAAAATAAAAATGAAAATGAAAAGTGTAAACCCTTGAAAATCCAAAATGATACCCTTAAAAAATAAAAGTGTAATTTTTTTTTAAAACCATAGGTATTAGTAGTACGAGTATCTTTTGGATTATATCGGTTGAAGCACTTATCGAATTATATTAAAAGGGATAGCTTTTCTTTTTTTTTTTTCTTTTTAAGACTCGAACTCGAAACTTCTGAATCCTCAGAACAGAAAAAGGAATTTGGAAAAACTATCCCCTTTAACAAAGTTCGACAAATGTTTAAATTAGATATAATCCGAAGCATGAAAATAAAATAAAAAGCTAGTCCTGCTATTGTGCCTAATGTTATTAAACACGTCCTAATTATTGACCCGGTCGAAGTACTAAGTCACTGGATCACTGGTTCAACCAGTGGGTCACTGGTTCAACCGCATGACCCGGTAAGTATATGTAAATCTACAATTTATATTAAAAAAAATAATAAATATACTTAAATACTTGTAAAAAAATATACCAATTTCAAATATTTTAATATGAAAATAATAAATTACATATCATTGTCTAACAAAAGATCAATCAAACATATAATATTTGTGGTACTAGTGTTTCAGGTTTAGTAAACGACATCTCTAACTATAAATCAAATCAAAATTCCTTGCATATTGCATAATCAAGATAATATTAGTACTGTAGGTACATAATCTATGTAAGTTATAAGCTACAAATCACTCAAATATTTCAAAAGAAAACAAATCATTTGTGTTTTAGTGTAAAAAAAAAGGGAAAAAAGTTTTCGATGTTACTTTAGATAACTTTATCTAATGTTCATCGAAACGACGTCGTTTTGACGTTGAAAAATTAAAAAATTAGAGTGATAAAGACTATTATAACCCTGAAATAAATTAAAATTACAAAAATACCATGATTTCCGTCCCAAAACGACGTTGTTTCGATGAACATTAGATAAAGTTATCTAAAGTAACATCAGAAATAACAAACCAAAAAAAAAGACATAAATTTATGAAAATAATTAGTTTTTTTATAGACCGAGTCGAGTCACCAGTAGAACCGGGTCATCGATTTTTATAAAAATCAGCCAAAGCACACTGAATCACACCAGTTCTGTAACATGACCGGTCTAATATAAAAATCGGACCGATTACATGACACCGATTTTTATAACATTGATTGTACCAATGATTTAAAAAAAAAAAATTACAATGATGCAAAGTAGGACTAACTTTTTCAAAGTAGATTTTTGAAATACACATGTGCGAGCAAAATGAGATGCAAAGTGGGCCCGACGGCGCATAATGTCAAACTTGGTTCGAATGAAGAAAAGCCACGCGTCCCTCGTAATCTAGAATCAGTCGCATAAAAGCGACTGTACCTAAAAAAAAATATCATTTTTATAGCATATTTGAAAAGGATTAACTTTAACATAATAGCTTTTTTTATTATAACTGTGTTGAGAACTTTTCAACGTGTTCATAATTTATATAATATAAGTTGAATATATTAAACTAATTATATATTCATATATTATTATTTTATTGGAAAAATAAAAATATATTAATTTAATGAAAAAATAAGTGTGAATATAAAATTATATCTTTTAAATGAGAGAAAGAAATAAATCAAAAAAATAAACAAAAAATAAAAATAAAAATATGAGTCTCACTTTTTTATATGTGTGAAATAACATGATTTATGCAATTTAAAAAGATAAATATTTTTTCTTAATTTAATTTACACAAATTGTGGAGAATATATGAAATCAAGAAATTCTACGTTACTGATAAATATGGTGACGCCACGCCATACGCGTTTTCAGATTTGATGGTGACCAGCACCGTTCGCAGGGTTGTGTCTCCGATCACTCACTGTCACCTATCCAACGTTGACAGCTTCTGTTTGCTGACAACCTGAACGTCTTTTATTGGTCTGTCGTCTTGTGGTTTGAAAGGCTGTCATAATTAATTGAGGCATCAAACTAAGTCCAAATAATCCGCTACAATATATAAATTATGTTGATAAAATTAAAATTAAAAAAAAAAACACGATTTAATGCTTTTGTGTTTGGAAATTTGAAAATATATAATTAACCATTACAATCATTATTTATTTATTTTTAAACTAAATATTTTTCCTCTTAGATTTTTTTATTTATTATTTGACCCTTTATAAACTTGTCACTTAAATTCATCTTTGCTTAAATAATTTATCATTTAATTTTTTGTGTATTCAAATTTTTACTTACACTTATTGTGGTTATAAATGTATCACTTAAATACCTTATGATCTTATAAATATAAAAAAATATACTTTTTCTAAATTTTATTTTATATAATTATGATATTATGAAATAAATTATAATAAAATTAATATATTTTACATAATTTTATTTCATAATATCATAATTATAATAAAAATATTTATTTTTTAAAATTTTATTTTATATATACAGTTTTTGGCTTACAAAAAAGTCAATCCAAACGATCAAGTCAATTGAGATTGGAATAAGAATTCTGTCGTATCCTTCATGATGAGCATCCCATTGAGGAACTTGTTCCAATGTAACCCATCTTGAAACGATTATAACATTCGGATTCTCATTTGAAAAGTTACGAAATAAATTTGGGTTTCTTTTTTGTAACTTAATAATCTGCGTTTCTTATAACTAGTTTCGAAGGAAAATTCAAGGATACGATCATACGAGTATATTATAGAGTTGAAAAAAAAAAAAAAATTCTTTCTACTGCAGAGGCAACCGGAGGACGATATGAGTATATTATAGTTTTATGAACTGTATAGTTTTTTTATATTTAATTGTGACCCTCATGAAATAGTTAAACTTTTATGTCATTTCTTTAATTAAATATTAGAAAGTTTTATATAAATAAATTATTCTTTACTACTACAAAAATTTTCTTAAAATTATTAATATATATATATGTGTGTGTGGAAAATGATCTTTTGATTTGGGTATAAAAGTAAAAAAAGTTATTTTTATCTTAACCGTTAATTTCATTACATTCAACAATTATAATTTATTAAATTATATCCATATCTTTACTATTATATCTGTTATACGAAAATTGTCCCACTCAAGTAAAAACAAATATATCTTATCACAGGTAAAATCATCGTAAGCATGGAATGTTTCCTAATTATTATTATTTTATTTATAAATTAGT